GACGTTGGGCCTGGGGGCGGAAGGCGGTTATGGCTGGGTTGGGGTGGAGTAGAGGCATGGTATTGTTGGATGGGTAGGATGTACGTTGTATTCAGACAGTTGGACTAGAGATGGGATGGAGGTCGGTTGCTGGCGGGTTTGATATGTACTGCAGTTTAAGTTAACGTTACATGTATATGCCTGACACGTGAGGAGTGTCAGATGGAAGTGCTCAGCTGACCGCACCTTGATACATTTATACACCAGCATACTTTAGACCAATTACGCCGAGTAAAAGATATGAATAAGCTTAATATTTTGTATAATAACCCTTAGCCTTTCGTATAGCTCTTAAACGTCTCCCTATACTTAAAATCAGGCCATCTATATTTGCCTACGGTATTGCCTGCTATACTTTTACTAGGCACTTCTTAAAGTACTACCAACCGCTCTCCTTTCTTCCTATATCAATAAGCTCTAGAAAGAGCTTTAGAAAAAGCTTTAAAAAGCATCATTCTTTCCCATATATGGATTCAATTGGGTTTAAATTAGGTAAGTGCGCGGGCTAATCCTCGACATATACATTCTTATATACCGTAGCTAAATAAAAATTCGCGTTATTTTACTACAAGATAGTCCTAGGCGCATAGATTAGTATCAGCCCTTTTTCAAGCATCGAAATATACGATATCGCGGTATATCCGCGTCGGGTAAGTCCGCGTCTCGATCTATAATATTAACTCTATACGGCCTCCTAGCTAGATTCTAGCCTAAACTATTTGCGAAATATCCTTTACGTAGACCTTTGTATTTACTAGATCGCAGCGGAAGCCTTCCGGACGGTAGCACTATTATAATCTAAAGTTCGAGCCCGTTACACCGAACAATCGTCCGAAAAGGTCCACTATTAAAAGCTTTCTCGCTATTATTTTCTTATAAATTTAAGATAGTTCTGAGTGAGGATCTTTTTAATTAGTATTTTTCTTTTTAATAGGTATTTTGAGAGCCCGAATGGCTCTAAAATCCGCTATATAGTCGATCGACGGTGCATATAGGTAGTGCAAAGTGGGAAGATAATTTTGAACCCCCATGTATATCATTCAAAAAGATAGACCCCTCACATTATACATACACGATGCCCTGCACCTGGTGGGGGGCGCGGGGGAGGGGGAATATGATGGGACTCGGCGACAATATTCGCCAGACAAGAATACTGTAACACAAAGATGAAACTCTATGTGGTTTATGAAAGAAAAGATGCAACTGGGTATTTCCAGTTTTCCAGGAGAGTCCCACAAGGGCAGTGTCGTGTCGTAACCGGAAGTTTCCCTTTATCCCAAAAACGCCAACTAGCCTAAAAATCACAGCAAAATGTTCTTCTCGCGGCGGAGTGTCTCTTTCAGCGCCGTGAGTTGGATGACTGCTACTGTTTGTCGAGGGACAGATGCGGGGAGTTCGACCAGAGCCTTGCGCATGAGGACGAGACCGATTTGGCCGAAGAATCCTAGGATTCGCTCTGGAGAGGATCGGAGGAGAGAGCCCAGGAGGATGATCTGCGTTTCCTGCAGTTCTGATGGTGGGATGGCTAGGATCTTGGTAATTGAGTCCCAGAACATGGTGTTAGGAAAGGGGTTTTTGCGGGCTGTTTTTCCGAAGTTGCGCAAGGTGATGGCTGCATATCCGGATCCCAGGGCAGTCATCCGATCCAGGTGTGCTTGCTCGCTGATAAAGGGACCGCCGGCTTCTTCACGCGACCAGCCTAGGGCACGGCGTCCGGAATCGGTCTTGTCGTTGCCGGTGAATCCCCATAAGGCGGGGCAGACTACACGGAACTTGGCCATCAAAATATCAGAAAGGGGGATTCCTTTGTACATTAAACCATCCTGAGAAAAGATCTGTGCTGCCATGATGCCAATCGGCTCGGCATGGCCTGGGTTGAGAGCCGCTTCGGTGATGAGCGCGGATACCAACGCCTTTGCGTAGATGTTCAAAGCGTAGATCAACAGAGCGGAAATTTTATGTTCTGAGCCCGCCATCTCAGCGGGTGGGAACGCGATGAATCGTTGAACATCAACCGAGGGTTCTGGGATCGCAGCGGCCTTTTCGAGCTCAGACTTAATTTGGGCAAGCTGGTCGAGGCGGGAAAGTTAGTATACAAATAGACTTGGAGGGAATGAAAAGGTGCATCAACTCACCTGGTTTGTGTTAGCACCCTTGCCGGCACGGAGTTGACCAACAGACTTCCTGATCGTCCGACGCAGATCTCCGATGTATTTTTTCATCTCTGGATTCTTTTTGCTTTCGCCGACCAGCCACGCGCGGAACTCTTTTAGAACCTTGTGAAGTTCAACATAGCGCTGCTGAACACCGAGTTCTTTTTCAGAGAGGCGTCCAGCTCCGAGCTTTTGCTGCTGCTCACTGCGGGCCTGTTGTTCGGCTTCTTCCTTGGCTTTTTGAGCATCCTGTTCTGCCTTGCGCTTCTGGGCCTCGGCTGTCTCGCGCTCTTTGCGCTGCTTTTCTTCAATGGCGGCCTTGCGCGCGTTTTCAGCCTCCTGGGCCTTGCGCGCTTCCTCAGCCTTGGCTTTCTCCTTAGCTTGACGTTCGGTCTCAACACGCGCGGCTTCTTCCTGCTCGCGTCGCAGCTTTTCAGCCTTTTCCTTCTCAATCCGTTCTTTTTCTTTGCGGGCGGCTTCTTCCCGCTGGCGCTGCGCTTCTTCCTCTGCTCGAAGGTGCGCTCTCAGAGTAGCCTCGGCCTCTTCGCGGATATGATTATGGTGGGCTGCTGCCTCATCGAGAGCGGCATTGTGAATAGCTTCGGTTTCACGATCCTTGCGGTCGAGCTCATTCTCGTAGGCAATGCGCTCATATTCATGGACCTTCTTCAAGTCAGCATTGAAGATCTTGACGCTCTCGAGGCCATGAATAAGCTCTTGCATGATCTGCCGCGAGGGGCTGTCCAGCGCGGAGCTGTCCAAGGGTGGCACATAGCGGATTGTCATTGTGCTGTGGAACGTGAATGGAGAGGTTGGAGATTCGACGACAGATGAGACGTCTAGGTTGCGTGGAGATGAAGAGGGAGAGGATCGGAGGAAAGAGCGAGTCTGGGAGTTGGTGGAAGCGTCGAGGTCACAGGAGGTTGCGTAGTAAGGATACAGTGAGTGAGAGATTGAATCACAGTATCGAATATGGTGGGGTCCGAATGATCAGGCCCATTTCTAGAGCTGCAGGTCACAGCGATTCTGGTGCCTGATCGAATCCTCAGGCGAGGGCTTTGTAATTGCAACCAGCAGAGGCAGCCTCGGAGTCGAATGTTGCAAGGCCGTAGAGGATCCAAAAGTCGAAGCTCAAGGAGGACAAAGCGCGATGCACGCGTCTTTTTATTACAGGATTCAAGGCGCGTCTAAAAGGGAATGATGTGACATGAAGACAGCGGCTATGTGAAGTCAGCAAAACGCGTCGCGGAACCCATTGAGCCAGCCCAGTGCTATACCTTGCAGCTGTTGAAGCCCAAGGAAAATAAATTACCAACATCGTGCTGAGTCAGCACTGGTTCCCTGGTTCGAGTGTTGCATCACCATTTACATCATCCGAAGCTGCCTATCTAGCTATCCCTATAGTGTAGCTATAAAGAATGAGGAATATAAGTCTATATCTATGATGTTACAGGGGATCACTATGATAGTGGCATTTCTGAGGGCACTCGCTGTAAGATGCCCTAAGATCCGCCAACTCACTAGTACAATATAGTATAGAGACCATCCCTGGAAGCCCCTAGGATAACCAGAGATAGCCATACATGCAATCCACGGTCACTATGGAGTCCTTGTAGTCGACTTGACTTTTCCATGCCATCACCATCCACCACCATCCGGTAGCAACGGCGATCATACGGTGTATGATGGATACTGGTTATGGTATTACCACACTCCACTTGTAATGTCTCACATTAATCTATGGTTAATCAATGTGATATCCACGTAATAAATCAGTTAGGTCATTTCCAAACCACCACTTTCTTTTCCATACCACCCCACACCCTCTTTGTATCTCATCATAACCTCTCTCTCTCTCCTTTCTCTCCCCTCCCCCATCTCTCTCCATCCTTCTCTTTCCCCCCCATTCCTTGAATCAGTCGATGTTGATATCGTCTATTCTATCTTTCCCTCTAATTTCAGTCTTTGCTGTCATTCTCTTCGATAGCCCCCGTCTTCGGTAACCCTGGACAAGCTCAGCTTTGTTCTCTAGAAGTCCCAATCTCTTCGGTTTCTAAGAGCTTCTAATTTCGATTCCTTACCCTTTCCGTCGGTCGACTCGGTCGTGCTTTCCAGCGTGGCAGCTTGAACCGCGAAACTCGGTCCTTCCATCTCCGAATCGAGCTCCCTTGACTTGGTTATCGCTCCAGGTCATATTTGGCGTGCAATTGATTCGACTGTCATTTTCGATCTGACCGCCTGTCAACCCTCACCGCTTGGCTGGCGAATAAAGAAGATCATCCCACGTTGGACATCGCAGACGTCATTTTGGAATGCTAGGGCTCAGAAGCCGTCATTAGTTTCTCAGGTAAGAGAACCACCGTGTCCCCGCAAGCATATCCTTGAGGAAACCCTTCCCGGCTTCGCCATTGCCACGTTTCCCGTTTCGCAAGACCATCGAATGGCGCTGCTCTTTGGCTTCTTTCTTCTGAGTGGAATGCGCTTGTCGTAGCTTCCGTATTCAACGCCCTCACTTCGGAACTGCCACTTCTCTCGCTGGCAACTTGTTTGCCCCTCCTCTCTCACGTTCTCTCTTCCCTGTCATACTCTATATCTTGCCCGTACTGATCCACTCTTTCCCGCTGCAGTACAGTTCACGCGTCGAATCTTCACTTCGCACATACAAACCTCTTTGGTCGGTTTGTGATCCGTATCACTCGGTTCGACTGCCTTCTGGCATAGTACCAGTCTCTCCTGTCGCCGGATCCATCCCGTCATCCCACATATTACACACTCTACAGTGATAGCCGTCTTCTGTCATCTGGAATCATGGATCAACAGCAGAGTCAATCCGGACCTCAAGGTCCTGGTGGGCGCAAGTTCCATATTGCTCATCGGAGAAGTCCTTCTGAGCTTACCCCATTGATGAGTATGTGATATCGGAACTATCCCTCTCCGTATCAGTTGGCTGACTTGACCACAGTGGAACAACTAGCCATTCAGCAACAGATTGAGTTGCTCCAGCAGCAGCAGCAACAGATTGCTGCCACGCACCAGCAATATGTTAACATGGGCTTGTTGCAGCCTCAACAACTGGGCCAAGTGCAATCCTTCCAACCGGGTGCCTCCATGGGTGGCGTTTCCCCACAGGTCAACGCATTCCAGTTCCCCCAGCAGGGACAGCAACAGCTTGGAGTACCCATGAATCAACAAACTCAGCACTCGCACCGTCGTAACCAGTCCGCTCTTCCGGGCCTCCCCATGGGTCCGCCACCTGCTCCATCCTCCGGCGCGTCAGGATATGCCGATTACAACCAGCAGGGTCAGAACAACAACCACAAAAATGAGAACACCAACCACGGTCGTGGTCGTGGAGGTCCTCCCGGTGGTGGTCACCAGCGCCGTCACTCGCTTGCTCTCCCGGAAGCCAAGAAGGCCGCTGAGCTCGCTCAGCAGAAGCGAACGGCTTCTGGATTCCAGTTCCCGGCTCCTGCCCCTGGTGCAAGCGGTGATAACCAGTCATCTTCAGATGACAAGCCTGCAGCTAGCACTTCTCCGGCACCCCAGGGACTCGGCTTCCAGCGGGCTGGCAACATTCGCGCTGGTGGTCATGGTCGAAGCCAGTCGATGGCCATTGGTGGTAACCGTGGTTCCATTTCCGGCCGCGGAGCGGGTGGTTTCCAATTCCCCCAAGCCCCTGAGACCTCGTCCGGCCAGCCTGATAACCAGCGGCGAGGAAGCCAACCCGGCCACGCTCGGTCGGGTTCGCGTAACTTCGAGGGCAACTGGCGCCAGCCGAACAACCAGAACCAGGGTCAGGATCAGCAGAGACCCATGGGCCAACAACAGGGTGGCTTCCAGCCTGGTCACCGCTCGCGCGGCTCGATGAACCAGTCGATGGGTTCTATTGGACAGTTCCAGTATCCTCCTCAGCAGCAGCCTCAGCTTATTCAATTGCCCCAGGGTCAAGTCATGATGGCACCTCAAATGTTTGGTAACCAGCAACTCAACCCCCTCCAGTTGGCACAGCTCCAGGCCCTTCAGCAGCAGAACGGCCAGGGCATGGGTCTCCAGGCCAGCCAGCACGCCCCGCCACAGATGTCTGTCCAGCAACAGCAACAGCAACAGCAGCGGAAGACCCTTTTCACTCCTTACCTGCCTCAGGCAAACCTACCTGCACTCCTTAGCAATGGACAATTGGTCGCTGGTGTTTTGCGTGTCAACAAAAAGAACCGTTCGGACGCTTATGTGACCACTGATGACCTCGATGCCGACATCTTCATCTGTGGTAGTAAAGACCGCAACCGTGCTCTTGAGGGCGACTTTGTCGCCATTGAGCTGTTGGACGTCGACGAGGTGTGGTCCCAGAAGAAAGAAAAAGAGGAAAAGAAGAAGCGCAAGGACATTACCGACGCTCGCTCCAACAGCAATGCCGGAAATGACAAGCTCGGTCGCGCCGATTCCACTGGTGATAGACAAGAAGTCGGCCCGGATGGAAGCATCCGTCGCCGTGGCAGTCTTCGCCAGCGTCCTACCCAGAAGAAGAATGACGATGTCGAAGTCGAAGGCCAGAGCCTTCTTCTGTGTGAGGAAGATGAGATCAGTGATGAGCAAAAGCCTTTGTATGCCGGTCATGTTGTTGCCGTCATTGAGCGTGTTGCGGGCCAGATGTTCTCTGGTACTCTGGGCCTCTTGCGTCCCAGCAGCCAGGCCACAAAGGAGAAGCAGGAAGCCGAGCGGCAAGCCAGAGATGGCGCCCACGGCCGTTCCCACCACGACCGTCACCAGGACAAGCCCAAGATTGTTTGGTTCAAACCCACCGACAAGCGTGTTCCTCTCATTGCTATCCCGACCGAACAGGCGCCGCGGGACTTCGTTGAGAAGCACCAGGACTACGCCAACAGAATCTTCGTTGCTTCCATCAAGAGATGGCCCATCACCTCCCTCCACCCCTTCGGTACCCTCGTTGAGCAACTTGGTGAGATGGGTGACCTGCGCGTTGAGACAGATGCCCTGCTCCGTGACAACAACTTCGGATCCGATGACTTCTCGGATGCCGTGTTGAAGAGCATCGGCTGGGAAGACTGGTCTGTTTCCAGCGAGGGTGATTCTCTGGCTTCACGCCGCGACTTCCGTGAAGAGACCATCTTCACGATTGATCCCGTCGACAGCAAGGCCCTTGAGGATGCATTCCATGTCAAGAAGCTTGCTGATGGCAAGGTCGAGATCGGTGTCCACGTTGCCGACATTGCTCACTTTGTCAAGGGCAACTCCCTCGTTGACCGTGAGGCCAAGAAGCGCGGTACCGCTGTTTATCTGGTTGACCGTATCATGAACATGTTGCCTACACGTGTCTCCACTGAGCTCTGCTCTCTGGTCCCTGGAGAGGACCGCCTAACAGTCAGCGTTGTCTTCAAGGCCAACCCTACTACCGGAGTCGTCGATGAGGATGTCTGGATTGGCAAGGGTGTCATCAAGAGCGCTGGCCGACTTGACTATGACCAAGTCAACGGAATTGTCAAGGGCAAGTCCAAAGAGAGTGCCAGCGGTATCTCCGCTGATAACATTCGTTTGTTGAATGTGAGTATTGTCTCTTACTGATGTTGTTTCCTTGCGCTCACAATATACACAGGACACTGCCGGCAAATTCCGTGAGGCTCGCTTCGGTAACCGGGTATCGAACGTCCCTGTTCAGCGTTTGCTCCAGCAGCTCGATGACGAGAACGTTCCCGTTGAATATAACATTTTTGAATCTACCGCTGCTCACGAACTTGTTGAGGAGCTTAGCCACCAGGCCAACTATTTCGTTGCCCGAAAGCTCGCCAGCGCCATGCCCGACAAGGCATTCCTGCGCCGACAGTTCCCGCCCAACCCTCGTCGCCTGACTCTGTTCGTTGAGAGAATGAACCGCCTCGGCTTTGAGATGGACCCCAGCAGCAGTGGCAGCCTCCAGAGCTCTCTGTGCAAGGTGCAAGATGTGGATCTCCGCAAGGTAAGTGTTTCACGTATGGTGCTTAATCAGTGCAGGTGTTGACTTTAGATACAGGGTATGGAAACTCTTCTTGCCAAGGCCATGCAACGCGCCAAGTACTACGTTGGTGGTACTTCTGATGAGCAGCGTCAGCATTACATGCTCAATGTCCCAGTCTACACTCACTTCACTAACCCCTCTCGTCGCTACACGGACATCCTCGTGCACCGTCAACTCGAGGCTGTCCTGTCCGAGGGTTCTGTGGAGTTCACTGACGATATTGAGTCTTTGAACAAGACCGCCGACCTTTGCAACAACAAGAAGGACTCGGCTCTCAACGCCCAGGAGCAGAGCGTTCATATTGAAGCCTGCCGCAACATGGACCGCAAGAGTCGTGAAATTGGCGGTGACCTCATCAGCGAGGGTATTGTTCTCTGTGTCTACGAGTCCGCCTTTGACGTTCTCATTCCCGAGTACGGCTTTGAGAAGCGTGTGCACTGTGATCAGCTGCCACTGAAGAAGGCCGAGTACCGCAAGGACACTCGTGTGCTTGAACTATACTGGGAGAAGGGCGTTCCATCGTCCGCCTACATCCCCGAGGACGAGCGTCCCAAGCCTGGCAACTCTCGCGCTGCTCAGGCTGCGGCGGCAGCTCGGGAGGCCGAGGCCGCTCGGGAGCGTGCTAGAGAGCGCGATGAGGCCATGCGCAAACAGACTGAAACCGGCACCATGTCTGCCGATGATGTCGATGCCCTCTTCGACGACGATGAAGATGTGGACGATGTCACCGAGATGGCGGCCGGTGTGTCGCTCAACTCGGCTGACCGTTCCACTCAGAGCATGCCACCATCGCCCACCCGCAATGGCCACCACCAGCAGGGACCTCACCGTACCCGCTCTGACCCCAAGATTGCCTCCGGTGCCAACGATGCGCCCGAGAACAAGTTGACCAACAAGGAGAAGTACTTGAGCCTGTTCAAGCTGAGAGAGGTGGATGGAGACTTCATCCAGGATGTTACTGAGATGACTCGTGTGCCCATAATCCTGAAGACTGACCTGAGCAAGAGTCCTCCGTACGTATTCCAGTTCCTTCGTTCTGACATGGGCATTGGCTAACCTTTCTTTCTTAGATGCCTCACTGTTCGCTCTGTGAACCCCTACGCCCTGTAGTGGTTGGAAACCTGGTTTCTATTTTCTCTTTCATGGGACATATTCTTGCATGCCGTACCCTGCAGATTCTTCGGTCGCGCGAAGCATGCTTTGTTTCGTGCGCACCTTTACGGACATAATCCAATCCCGACATGCGGATCGAACATATCATTATCAAGGTCCCAGTTCTTGATAACGCTTTTTTCTCGGTGGCTTTATCAAACGCATTCTACCCACCATCTTTCCGACGTGTCCTGGGATTCTTATACTTATCCTATTATATGTGCCAAGCGGTTGTTCGTCTTTTTGAGCATTTTAGTTGTTTCCGGGGAGAAAGTTCTTAGTGCTGGAGCTTGCGGTGTCTCCTTTCTGGCCTGTCTTCTGCACTCTCATGTCTTTTGGGAATGTTTGGAGACTCGAAGGGAAATATTGATTGCAGCTCGATAGTCCCAGAAAATTCTTCCATTAATTTATGGTTTCTCGATTCCTTTCGACTTTGTGTAGAGTTGTAAACATTCTCTATAGATGTACATGACTATTGATATACATTACCTACGTTTTCTAGAACTTAATACTTCTACTAATTTGCACTTCCCAAGTAATCAATCACCTTTCATTGTTTCATGTGCACTGTACACATCTCAAACAGCTAAATAGGCAAGAAGAAGTAAAGGAAACAAGAAACTGAGCAACACTCAAACAAGCCAGTCTATCAATGCAACACAATGCAACACATCACTTCATGCAATTCGCGCACATTCAACAAAATCCAAACGAGCCAAGGGTATCAAAAAGAAAGTCACCGGTAGAGGCGGATGTAGATGTAGAGTAGATGGCAAAGGAATCAAATCAAAGCATCAGATCAAATGAACTCAAATCGAAAACCAGAACCATCCAGGTAAAACAGGGAATAAGCAAGATAGTAACAATACCTAGGACCGAAAATGCAATGCTAAATCGTGATAATATGAAAAACGATGCTCGACTTCTCATAGTCGGCGTACACCAATGCGCGGCTTTGCCTTTACAGCAGTAGTTTTCCGCGGACCACCAATAGTCTTCTTACTCTTGGAGATCTTCGAAGCAGATGAACCCGGAATAGAAGAAGAAGATAGGGATGGATTGGGTGCTTGGGGGAGGGTTGTGGGTACATGGGGGTTACTGTTAAGAGCCTTCGAGTGGTGCAGGTCCCGTTTCTCCTTTAGGCCACGGACAGTTGCAGAACCACGGTTTTCTTTTCCGTCGCCGCTCAGCCGGCGAGAAGGGTCGGTCATGGATAGACCGGGGAAATCCTCGAATATTGGCATTGTATCGTGAAGACGACCGGAGGCATTGATGCCTCTACTTAGGAGGGATAGTTTAGGGGTTTTGCGTTGGGGGGATGAAGTGCGGGAGCGTAGGTTTGCGGTGATGTTTTGTTCGTTGGAGGACATGGCAGGTGAATCGGTATCGGAGTCTTGGTCGACGAGCATCATGTCTGCTTCGTCTTCTGGGTAGGGCATTGAGAGAACTGAGAGGGGACGCTTGCCTGGGGCGTTCTTGCGTGGTGATGGAGGTGCGAGATTGACTGGGGAAGGGGAGAGAGCTGGGTCGTTTTCTTTGCTTGCGCTGGCTGGGTCGTTTTCGCCATCGCTCATTTCCTCGTCTGACATGGACTGAGAGGCTTGGGTGAAGGGATGTGAGTGCGACAGGGTCTCGATTCGTGTGGTTCGGCGCACGGGTTTCTTCGCTGTGGTGTTGTGGTTTCGTCGCTGCCTGCGCGTTTGTTGGAGGGATGACTCTTGGTGTCCGTCAAGCCCTGTCCATGCATCCTCGCCTCGGAGCTTTGCCTCGCTCACTGCATCTTTGAGGTCGAGCGGGATTGGGGCATGGATGGAGGTCATGAGCTTGGCTTGGTGCGCAAAGGCGGCATAGTTCTCTTGTAAGAGGGCGCCAGCGGAGGAATTGAGCGCAGAGTCAGGATTGGGGTAGATGAGAAGACATGAGATCGTCTGTCGAGCAAGCAATGTTGTCAGTCAAGCTGCAGAGCTTGTGCACCTTGTGTCTCGATCACTTACCACCAGTACATCGCGAAGTGTCAGGTTCGGCTGCCAATCCCGCTTAAGGGTATCCACGCAAACTGCACCGGTAAGCTCCTCCATATTCGGGTGCCAGATCCTTGTCCGGAACGTCGCCTTGGGTGGGCTCTTGGGGTAGTCGGCCGGCATCTTGAGGTGGAGCTTCCACAATCCTTCCGAGAAAGGTGTGCCCGGCGGCCCGGTGAGGAGAATGTCCAACTGCGATAAGTCGTCATCATCCGACGGCTTCAGGTAGTACGGCGGGAGGTCATTGTGTAAAGCGGCATGATCGGCAGCAAGCCGGCGCAGGTTGGACGGCTAGATTCCAATGTTAGATGCTGAGCAGTGTTTTGGCCCACCGCTACGGTTGCTGGTGGACAACCCGTACGTGCGGTCTGCGGTCTGGAGCAGGAATGACTTACCATGCTGGCTTTGGCGATCAAGGTCTCGAGGAGTAAGTAAGCAGAACAATGCCGAGCTTCACAAAGTGCTGGCGGTGCTTGTGGAGGGACTGGGATCAGAGCAACAATCGATAAGACGTTGCTTTGTTGTGGTTCGACGTGGCGCTAGCCGCTTCGGGAGCGCGTCAGTCATGTGCTCTACGCGTCACTTGCGCGTCAGCAATATTACCTCTTTGGGATGACGCTCTCCTACAACTAATATACCCCTTCTTTATGACTCAAATACTCCCTTGAACGCCCTTGTCACGCCATGTCCAAGACATAATCTCGTGTTCTATGCCCGTAATGATGTCAATGCTGATCTACAATTGGCCACAGTTGAATACTCTCAGACGAAAAGTCGGCTCATATTTACCCAGATATTGAAAGTAATCACAAGCATGGAAGAAAAGAAGTGGGAAATCAGGTGCGCCAATAAAGATGCGTCTCAAATCGCAGTGGAAACACAAAACGAAATCCTGTCCCTCAAAAGATTACAAGACCCATTATTAAACCTGAAAGCAAATCGCAAAAAGAAATCAATGCTCGTGTTTTCATATCTCTCATTCCCGCTGACCCAAGGACAGGATCAGCATACCATATGCCCATGTACAGACTCAATGACCTGCGTCTGAGACAGTCTCAGCGCAGTAGTTCCAAGGTTAAATCATGTCATGGAATCAGTTGCTCAGTTCCCTTACAGGAAAGCAACAAGAGCAGCACCGGCAACCATGCCGAGACCGACAGGGCCGGCGGTGGCGAGGGCAGCACCACCGGTGGAGACAGAGCTTGAGCTAGCACTGGCGCTGCTGGAGCTCGAGTCAGAGGTGGACGAAGAGTCCGAGGAGGAGGTAGTGGCAGTGCCAGTGGCCTTAGAGGAGCCGGTGCCACTGCGAGTAGCAGTGGACAAAGTGCTGCTGGTGTTGATACCGGCGACGGGCGAGGTCAGACCGGCCGGGATAGAGGCGGCGGGTTGCTGCGAGGTCACGACGGCGGGCTGGCTGGTGATGACAGAGGCCTGGGTTGTGACAGCCTGAGGCTGGCCGGTGACGACGCCCAGGGAGTTGGTCTGGGTGAGGTACTGGGTAGCAGGGTTCTCCTGTGAGATGTGTTAGTCTGTGTTGTGAGGGTTTTGGACGCGTGGGAGCTTGTTTCTGCTTACCACGACAGTCTCGCTGGAGGAGCTCTGGGCCTGGGCCAAGGCGATGGCCGAGAGGGTGGTGAAAACAATGGAGAAACGCATTATGAAGGTATTGGATTATTGATAGAGTGGATGAGCGGATTAGAGGATTAGAGTATGGGGAGTAGTTTCTGAGAACGTGGAGAGGAGAGGGAGAAGAGAAAGAGAAGAGGCGAACAATGGGCTTTTATCGTTGTCCAGGGAAACACGTCCTATATTCGGTACTTTAGTCTGCGCCATCAGCCCTGAGTGGCTTGGAAATGGATACTTCGGTGCCAGTCATCGGACAGAGTCTGGACCTAGCGTCCTTTAGGATCTGCAAGGTCTTGCAGTTCTATTTTGGTCTCTGGGGTCACACCCGATGCGTAAGCTCTACTACGGTGTTTACAATACTTAGACATTCGCCTCTCCCTGGCTGTCTACACACCCAATGTAACACTCACGCCACTCTCAAGGCAAACCCCTCAAAATAATCAGTCAAAAACGGGATTTATCCAACCTTGGATGGCAATATGCACCAAACACTAGTGGGCCTTAGCCTTAGTGTCTGAGCACGCTTCGTATAATAACAACATAATAATGGAAATCATAACAACGATCAGTCATATTGACTCTGTGCGACAATCTCGGCCAGCAGCCCGAAAGCTTACTCCCTGCATTGCCTCTCAGAAGTCCCTTGGAGACCGCGTGGCGACAGACGAATCCTTTCAAAGCCGTCCAGTCGAAATATTGGCCTAAACAGCCTAACTTCTGGGCAGAGTAGGTAAGAAACAGGCTCGAATGGCGCCATGTCTTGGAGCTAAAAGAGTCGAGACGAGCTAAGATCGGCTAAGTGAGACATCAACTTTGCTCATCCACCCAATCAGCGATGTATACAAATTTCTTCTTATTTTTTTGTTGCTTTTTATCACATTCCCCCTTTACCTTGGGGACGTATTTATTACTGCAAGGGTGCCCTGGGAACACAATAATGTTTGTACAACCCTGCATCGCCACAATCATTGATTCGTTTGACTTTCCAAACCTCAACATTCTACATTTCTGCATTTCGATCGTAGTGGGTCTTTTCCCCTCATACCCTCATACGGGAACTCCGTCGGTTTACTCCATCCAGTAAGGACCGTCTCTATATTTATGTCTTTTTCTTTGGAAACAAAACCAGTCTCACCTTTGACCTCCATGTTTCCACTTGGACACTGAACATCGGAGTAAAGTTGCCTGTAATAATACTTTGTGGTTGCTCTTTTGAGCGAGTAAGTGAAAACTTTGCAGTGTAAACTTGCTCCCTAAAGAACTTGACGCCAAATACATCTTGGGATAGTTGGCATGAGAAGGCTATGATTTGGCACTGTCAGGTGGGTAGTCAGGACAAGTGTTTCGTACCCTTACGATACGGGCATTGTGCGACGTTGAACCACAGAACTCGATTCTTCTAGCACCTTCCAGAAGACCAACATATGCATTAGAAACTTTTATGTAAGTCAGTAATTTAAGTCAATGTTAATTGTGCAGGTTGAACTACGTCCAGTACGTAATTTGGCCTAGACCACTATCTGTAGGGCCTTGAACGGTGATTGAAACTATGCAACAATATGCCGTATGACCCCATACGCCACGCACAAGTTGTCGGCATTCAACCAGCTCTAGCTACAGGGTTTCTCGTCCAATTAGGCGGTTCAGAATATCTTGCATTACATGTGTCATTATGTTTCCATCTTCAAACATCGCCAATGTTGTCATCCTCACAATGGCAGCCAACTCTAGGCCAAAGCCGTTCCGTGATGTCGTGCGGAACCACGCTCGTTCTCTCGTAAATCCTCTTCAGTGGACTTCGCGTCACCTTGATTCTAGTCGGCTGTCGCGATTCGAAGATGTCGCAACTACACCTGCCTAGCCATCAAGCGATGCTTAAGTGATCGCTTTAAATCTGTTTCCTGAAATAAAGCGTAGTCATTTCTTAAGGTTTTGCTAGACAAGGAGCGCACTTTTACATACCCTAGGTACGAGCCATAGTCTAATATAATAGCTTCTATAGGAGGGACTGACTAACCACCCGGCGGAGTAGCAAAAGAGCTCCATTCTATTTCCAGGATCGGCCTGTTCACCGATGCATTTCATCGTCAAGAACAACCCGTTGATCACAGCCATAGTGGCTCGCCCCGATTAGTAGACTATAAGCATTACACAAGCATTAACGGGATCGCAGGAGGTAAATTGGGACTTGTCCAGCTCCGTCGAGGACTAATAACTTCGTCGGAGCCAGTATCTACCAGAAGCGACTAGCTCAGACAACCCCAAATAAATGGACCAAAGCTCTATACTTCCTATATCACTTGTTAGCTCTGCAGCTCCAAGAGCGCAAGCTCAATAGTTAAAAACCAACCACTTATAAGGTATCTATTTAACCTATCTATCGGGCCCTAGCTGATTAGATTCTAGTCGCGTCTTCTCGTAACCAACGTATTAGACCGGCTATATGTACTCCATTACGAGACGGAAATTATAGTCAGCTCCTAGAGAGGCTCAGGAATCCGAAGTATGCAACAATCCATTGAAATGGCCTAAAATCCGACGGGGAAAACTCCCATACTAGCCTTATCATACTTCCGCTGACCGACGTCTTGCTGAGCTAGTGGCGCCCAGTCCCTTCAATCAATCATTCGATATGAACTGTGTCATTGAACATAGTAGGAAAGAACCACACGAACAAACAAGGCAGTGGATGGCATAAGTTAAGGCGAAATTGAAAGGGATAAGCTGGCGTTTTCAAGAGGGACCGCGGCGTAAAAAGGTTTCTCTGGGTATTGAGAATTTCGGGTGGTGTATCTTCAAGAGGCTTTGGCTCACATCAAATCTTTTGCATGATTTTGGAATGACTGACCATTTTACAACACTCGTCAACCGAGTTCTGAATGTAGAATTGTATTATTAAGTCAGACTAGTTCTTTCTTTATCCAAACTATTAGACCATTGGTCTCTCTTATGGGCAAGGTTCGGAATCGAAGAACATAGTCTCGTTATAAAATCAATGAACGGATGGCTTGACTCAGTGAAGTATAGAAGCGTGCCTCATCTCGACCTTGAGAAACACTGCAATCGAGATCCGGGCTTGTGTCCGCTACGTCTTATAGTGCGCCACTGAACTTAGCAGGAGCACATCAATGCCAAACAGGCACATAAGTGGCAGCATTAAAGTGCATGTCGAGCATATCAATTCGACACTGAACTCTCTCGCCGCTATGGATTTTATACAACTTCCGGCAACATACTATCCCAAATTCATTTTTCCACAATCACTCTTTGATCGGAGCATCCTGACCACGGACCCAGTTCGCAAATTCCTTTCGCTTGGCCTGTAGTTCCGAATATTAGCCTTTGTACCCTTAGACTCCCAGAGTATGATCTTCATCCAGCGGTAGATTCGGGTCACAACATAGATCCAACACGGCACATAGGCCAACCAAAAACATTTCCGAAGGTCAGGAACCAAAAAAACTCACCCGAATATCCCAGAATGCATAACGCTCCTCCAGACTCAGGAAAGGGTTGCGCGCCCCGCCATCCCGTTCAATGGCGCCCGCCCAGTCGCGCCAGCTGACGGGCTTCAACTTCTCTGTGCCGAGAACGAGACCAATTGATACAACCAGGACGGAAACGAGGGTTTCCGCGATGATATCGTGTGGAAGGACGGTGGAGGAAATGTTGCTGTAAAGGACAGTGTGTTCGTGGGCGGAGTAGCCTCTGCAGGCGGGTTGTTAGCTTAGCTCGGAATGGGGTAGATTCGATTGGTATATCGATTCTCGGGAAACGTACGCATGCCCGAGCAGGACGAGCCCGAAGAGCGTGACAAGGCGTGCAAGGAAGCTCATAGTGGGCGGTGAGGTTGGTTTGGGGGGGTTGCGGAGTTGGGGTTCAGTGGTCGAGTCTTGTCGGTGCGGCCGATTCTATCCGTATGTGAGGGATATGATTGAATCCCGCGGTATGAGGATTTGAATAGAAAGCCTATGGCTCTGGGCTGGTGGACTGCGTTAATGCTTGACAGCCGCGGTGGAACTGAGGTGTTGTCCGCCTGGCCATCCCGCAGTTTACATAATCACTATGGGGCAGCCTCGGAACTATGGATCTTCTTCTACTTCAATATTATACTCTTTTTTTTTGACTATGGTTTTCGAGGTTTTCTCGCCGTAAGGCATTATTTTCAATACTTATACAGTAGTAATTCATATATATTTTGCTTTAGAGTCGTCGTTCATGGTCACTTGACCTTGAACTGAACTACAACTGGTTCGTGCAAATAATAAACCAATGCAATACAATCACGGCAGTGATATATGTGTAGATCGCTTTGGCTGATGCTTCTGGTTAATTTCTTCAGCTAACAAAGCATGGTACAGCGTGCTACCTTTGACTACCTTGTATAACGAGGCAGCCCTATATAATTCGTCAGTATACATGCCGATAGTGATTCTCCCTAGGCATATAGACGAGTCTACCCTCCGACTTGCTGTAACTTACGTGGTGGTGCAATACATCGTAGGCGGAAACACGGTCGTTTTCGTTTTTTTAATTGATGCAGCCTGACTTGCGCTATGACAGCAGGACGGACTCCTTACTCCAGGGCAACCCAAACTTGACCGCCTCGTGAAGTCAGTCACTTCCTTCCTTCGTAAACTCTCGATCGTTACATCTAAGTTGTATACCCAGCTTGTCTTAGAACTCTAGGTTTAAAACGATTGAACTACAATGTGCGGAATCAGCGCCGTCCTTTCACTGGCAGGGTACCCCGCGCAATCGAACGGGGAACGCTTGTCATCTCTCGAGCAGCTCAGAAAGAGCCTAGATCTTGTTCAACACCGTGGACCAGATGCGCGTGGTGAATGGACCAGTAATGATGGCAACGTTTGTATGTGCCTTGTTTTTGCTCTTCAAAGTGAACAATCTTCCCCCGTTTAAAATACTAAGCCCTCTTAGATCTGGGCCACGTTCGACTCTCCATTGTTGATCTTAGCCCGCAGGCAAATCAGCCCTTTCATGATTGTGCGAATGATGTCCACGCGGTCGTGAATGGCGAGCTGTACAATGACGAATACTACCGAGAGCTCCTGGGCGGTGAATACGACTTCCACAGTCGAAGCGACTGCGAGATCGTCCTGGCTCTCTATAAGCACTACGGGTTGTCGTTTGTGTCCCACCTTCGGGGCGAATTTGCTTTGATCTTGTGGGATTCCCGCAGGAAGGTGTTCATTGGCGCGAGGGACCGGTATGGTGTCAAGTCGCTCTACTACACCGTTGTGAACAACCGACTTCTCGTGGCAACTGAAATGAAATGCTTCCTTCCGTTTGGATGGATGCCAGAGTGGGATGTTCAGGGTCTCAGAGAGTGCGGCTGGATGTTTGGTGCTGGGACAATGTTCAAGGGAGTCCAATCAGTCTGTTCCATTTTCTCTCGACGTCTGGGTATTTCTGACCAGAAATAGGTTGCCCCGGGGCATTATATTATAAGCAGAAGTTTCAAGCCTATTCAGGATGTAGCTTACTGGGATGCTGAGTATCCAGACAAGGTGAGTACCCTTCCTTAACTCTCCGCTTTAGCCACTACTCACTAGGCAGAGAACAGCTGAGCTTCGATCAGAAGCCGAGATGGTAGAGGGCGTGCGGAATCGCCTCATGGAAGCTATTAAAGTTCGCCTTCGGGCCGATGTACCTTTAGGGATCTATCTGAGTGGTGGAATTGACTCCTCCGCAGTGGCCGGCATGGTAGCTCATCTTGTTAAGGAAGAGGGAGCTCGACTTGGCAATGATGAGAGCCATCTTCTTTCACGAATCAAATGCTTTACGGTGCAATTCGACAAGGATAGTGGAGCTGACGAGTCCGGTACGAATCTTGCCATACTTACTAATTCCCAATATCGGAACGCTAAGCATCACCAGATATTGCACAGCGTACCGCCGAATGGCTCGGGGTTGACTTTCACCCGGTATCTGTCAACGAGGAAACTTTTGCTTCCATGTTTGCGGATACTGTTTGGCACAGTGAAACGCCCATGCCGGACACAAATGGCATGGGAAGGCTCGCCATGGCTGAGGTCGCCAAGTCACATGGTATTAAAGTGATATTGACAGGTTTCTCTTCCCAATATCTTTTATTGACTTTGTTCTAACATTTATGTCGACAGGAGAGGGATCCGATGAGCATTTTGGAGGATACAAAGACTTGTCGAGCGATTTCCTGCTTGAAAGTGATCCCTCATGGCCCTCCTCACCATCCGAGAAAGAAATCGCAGAACTAGCAAAAAATCTCAAAAGATTCTATGCGACTATGGCCATGGACATACCCTTCACTATAAATAGGGCGCCCGAGTCGACCCGCCGAATGCTTAACAATACCTCAATTTTAACCTTCCTCGCATCGGTTGGCCGCATGCCCTTCGCCAAATGGACAGACATATATACGGTCACGGCCCCCGAGACTGCGCAGGCAGAAACGCTGGATGGACGGGTTCGAGATGCCATTGCAAACCGGTGGCATCCACTTCACACAGCGGAGTATCTCTTTACGAAGGGCTTTTTTAGCAACTTATTGCTTCGGTATCTTGGTGATAATATCGACATGGTCCATCACGTTGAGACTAGACCTCCGTTCCTAGATCATCATCTGACAGAATATGCCAATGGCCTTCCACCCAGTCTGAAAATCAAAGTGTCTTCGTCAGATGGGTCTCTGACGGAGAAGTACATCTTGCGAGAGGCAGTTCATCCCTTCGTCACCGAGGAGATCTATACACGACAGAAGAAACCATATATTGGACCGACGAGGTTTCAGGAAAATGGGCCACTTCATCAATTGTTCCTCCGTCTGACTTCTCGGGAGAATGTGGATGCTCTTGGGTTTGTGGACTGGGAAGAGACACAAGAAAATGTGCGGAAGGCATTTGTAGATAAGGACTCGTGGTCTTTGCGAGCTGCTTTCTCTGTTTGCCAATTCGTGGTGCTCTCGCAAAGATTTGGGGTTGCTAGAGCCACGGCTTGATCCCTGCCTGGTACTTGGTCGATAACTTTTTTTCGAGAGTGCAGCGGCAACTGGATCAACGAAAATGCAAGGTGATAATTTCAGGTTGTATCATTGCAACGATAGTACAGCCAGGCTAAAGGATTTGTACAAGAAAAATAAGCCCCCGACAAACAGGATCAGCCGGTACTAGTCCATGATTTGGGTAGCCTTTTGAGCCTGTTCCATGTTGAAACCGGTGATACTCCCTGTCATTGTATTGTCTACATACTCAATATGATTTGGATTGGTATATAAGCAAGTATTATTATGATAAGGCAATCAAGAATCAATATCTAAACAAAGAACAAACACAATCATTCAACCAGATGTTCGGCACTCTATCCCTTGTATCTGAGAATAGCTTCGCGATCCATGTATAAGAGCTTTCTATTGTCCCTCGCCGCTTTTCGTAGATTTTGAGAGCATCCTTGTTTCTTATCAAACCCTGATGCTGAATAAGAAAACTCAAAAGAAAGGAACATGCAGCGATGGTAAACACGCAATCCACCCAGTACGCAGACTATCTGTGTAAGCCTGCTGGATAGAGGATTTAACGCGATCATCCTCAAACCATGCTCCGGCATCTCGCACTGGGAACGGCCCGATGCTTCCATGCTGTCAGTGGACAAAGATCGAGGGGTTGGACTGTGGGATTCTACTATCCTTCAACTGACTCTGGTACCTTGGCTGCGTTACGCTGCTTGGAAGGAGGTGAATTGGAAATCGTCGGAGCAACATCCTCTCGCTCGGCTTTATGCCATTCTCGGGGAAGGAACAGCTAACCTGTCAGTGTCTTTGACTTGCTTTGAGCTCTAATTGTGTCCATATCAGTTCTTATGCCCAAACTCTGATCTTATACATGTACTCCGTACTCCGTACTTTTATTTGGCCTTAATAGAATCAGTTGTTTTGGCTTTCTTGCCCTGACTGAGAAGGATCCAAGTAGCAATGCATTTGAACATCTTACAACAGATTGCGACCTAAGAAGGGTCACGATGCCCAATGGCAACGGTGCCCAACATATAAGCGGGGTGGGCCGCGTAGAATTGAAAGGATCCCCATGGTAACTGGCTGGATGGAACCAATTGCTTCTACTTCGTTCTCTACACTCGTTCTCTACATAATGCAATTTACTGGAAACGTATTTGGTCGTGAATTTTTGATTTTTTCATCAATGACCGGTCATGTCCGGACCAGCTTTCTAGTTGGTTTCGTAAAAGACTTCCTTGACATCACACATTTCCATCACATTCCTGCTTCGTAAATGGACATCGCAAATTTACAGCTTCTGCATGGCAGCAATATCGGTGGACTGAACGTGGTCCTCGAACTCCTCAATCTGGCCCTGGAGCTCGTCGGTGGAGACCTTCTCGTCCTCAACCACCAGGTTGATCTGGAGCTTCTTAATACCGAAAGCGAGGGGAACCCACTTGGAGGCACCCCAGACGAGGCCGTCCTTCTCAATGGAGCGGACGTTAGCCTCGAGTTCCTCAAGGTTGGTCTCGTCATCTGAAAGAAATGATTAGCAATTGCTTTACGAGAACAAAAGATGGTATACATACCCCAGGGCTTAACCTCCATGGTGACAAGGGACTTGGCAGCGGGCTTGGGCTTGTTGGCCTTCTTGGCCTTGTACTCGTCGAGACGCTTGTTGCGCTCAGCAACAACCTCGGGGTCCTCCTCCTCAGAGTCGGAGCCGAAGAGGTCCTCATCATCATCCTCCTCGGGCTTGTCCTTGGGGTTGGAGGGAAGCTCAGTGGTCTCGGGGCCGTAGGCGGTGAAGGCCTTGGAGGAGTCACCTGGGAGTGTGGAGAATTCGCTCTCGTAAGAGGCGATGTGCTTGTACCAGCGGGCGACGTGGGGGTACTTCTCAGCGTCGGGGGCGCCGTTGAAGGCCTTGAAGGTCACGACATCGGCCTGGCTGGGCGAGGAGCTGTTGAATGGTCAGCGATGTGCTTATACATCGAGTGAAAATCAACAATGTTGCATAACAAGCAAGATCAGAGGTGCGATTGCTCGCTGGTTGTGTAGTCATGCAGCGGGGTCTTAATCCGCCTCCTAAACACGGACCAATTGTTCTCATCATGAAAGCAGGGAGTTAAAAAAACACGGAAACATAAACAAGGGGTTCGTACCCAACAACGTAGGACCGAGTGGACAGGAAGTGGTTGGCCACTGAGGGGCACAGTCAGTCACCAATTGATTCGAACCAAAGAAAATCTCAGGGGCGCCTACGAGTCAGGCCGGCATCAGAGACAAAGTCGGTGAAACCCATTGTGAAGAGAATTGAAGTGGTATCTGGAGGGGGGAAAAAAGAGAAGAAATGAAGTTGGAAGAAATCGAGGGGTTAAAAGGGGAGGATTTTTTTCAACGGAAAATCTTCGCCGGAAAAACGTGGGACGGAGGTCAGGTGACTGGTGACGGTGGCGGTCCAAGCTTTGGAGCTTGTCCGCCACTCAGCGAGGACGGGGTGGAGCATTCGAGAAGCGTCGCGATAACTTACATCACCACGACTATTAAAGCTATGTGATCTCCTCAAAAACTCGGGTTGTCTGCAATTCTCATCATGGCTGCAAGACTGTCCCTCACTGCTCGCAGTAGGCTCCTGCGAGCGCCCAATATACTTTCACCCCGTCTACTTACCCCGATCCCGCGTTCGACATTCCTCCGTGCCTCGTCTCTCGTCCTCCCAGCTACTAACATCACCCCAATCTCTGTCCGGCACTATGCACAGGGACGCCCACACCCTCCAGGCGGTACTCACCGCATGGACATGAGTGGAGAGCCCGAGAAGTCCGCCCTCGAACAATATGGTATCGACCTTACAGACAAGGCGAAAGCTGGAAAGCTAGACCCAGTAATTGGACGAGACTCGGAGATTCATCGAACGATCCAGATTCTATCCAGACGAACGAAGAACAACCCGGTGCTTATCGGTGCTGCTGGTACCGGTAAGACTGCCGTTCTCGAAGGCCTGGCCCAGCGAATTGTGCAAGGAGATGTCCCGGAAAGCGTCAAGAACAAACGTGTTATCGCACTGGACTTAGGTTCATTGATTGCGGGTGCCAAGTTCCGTGGTGACTTTGAAGAGCGCCTGAAATCCGTACTCAAGGAGGTAGAGGACGCCCACGGAGGTGTCATCCTCTTCATCGACGAGCTTCACACTCTGTTGGGTCTGGGCAAGGCTGAAGGCAGCATTGATGCCAGTAACTTGCTCAAACCTGCACTGTCACGAGGCGAGCTCCAATGCTGCGGTGCCACCACACTTAATGAATATCGATTGATCGAAAAGGATGTGGCTCTTGCTCGACGGTTCCAGCCCATCTTAGTGGGTGAACCGTCAGTCCCTTCGACCATCTCCATTCTGCGTGGTATAAAAAATAAATATGAAGTGCACCATGGTGTCAGAATTACCGACGGTGCTTTAGTTGCTGCCGCCACCTACAGCAACCGCTACATCACTGATCGATTCTTGCCCGACAAAGCAATTGACCTCGTTGATGAAGCTGCATCAGCACTGCGGTTGCAGCAAGAGTCGAAGCCAGACTCCATCCGGGAGCTGGAGCGTGATATAACCACCATTCAAATTGAGCTCGAGTCTCTCCGTAAGGAAACCGATGTCAGTAGCCGCGAACGACGAGACAAGCTCCAAGAAGACCTCAAGGCCAAGCAAGCAGAGGCGGCTGAATTAACGGAAGCGTGGGAGAAAGAGAAAGCTGAAATCGACACCATCAAACGTACCAAGGAAGATCTGGAACGTGCCCGATTCGAACTCGAGCAAGCTCAACGGGAAGGAAATTTCGCTAAGGCCGGAGAGCTGAGATACTCCACCATCCCGGAGCTCGAAGCCAAGCTACCCAAAGAAGGTGCTGAGCAAGACGTTAGGCAACAGACTTTGATCCATGACTCCGTTACTGCCGATGATATTGGCAACGTTGTCTCTCGGACTACAGGCATCCCTGTCAACAAGCTTATGGCTGGAGAAGTAGAGAAGCTGATCCACATGGAAGATACTCTCCGAAAATCAGTTCGTGGACAAGATGAAGCTCTTTCTGCAGTCGCGAATGCTGTTCGGATGCAACGAGCAGGTCTCAGTGGCGAGAACCGCCCTCTGGCATCTTTCATGTTCCTTGGTCCTACCGGTGTCGGAAAGACGGAGCTTTGCAAGAAGATGGCTGGGTTCCTCTTCTCTACTGAAACTGCAGTCGTGCGCTTTGACATGAGTGAATTCCAAGAGAAGCACACAATCAGTCGTCTTATCGGATCTCCTGCTGGATATATTGGTTATGACGATGCTGGACAGCTTACCGAGGCCGTCAGACGCAAGCCCTATGCCGTTTTGCTGTTTGATGAATTCGAAAAGGCCCACCGGGATATCTCTGCCCTATTGCTGCAGGTTCTCGATGAGGGATTCCTGACTGATGCCCAGGGCCACAAGGTCGATTTCAGAAACACCTTAATTGTTCTTACCTCGAACCTTGGTGCCAATATTCTGGTTGGAGCAGACCCCATACACTCACACAAGGTCTCTGGTGATGCAGAGCTGTCTCCCGACATCAAATCGGCCGTCATGGATGTGGTTCAGGGAGCATACGCACCTGAGTTCCTGAACCGCATCGACGAATTTATTATCTTCAAGCGCCTGTCGCGGGAGGCTCTGCGTGATATTGTCGATATCCGTCTCAAGGAGCTGCAGGCCAGACTTGACGACCGCCGCATGACCCTGCAGGTTGACGATGAGATCAAGGACTGGCTCTGCGAGAGAGGCTACGACCCCAGATTTGGTGCTCGGCCTTTGAACCGTCTTATCTCCAAGGAGATCGGAAACCGCTTGGCTGACAAGATCATTCGAGGTGAAATTGTTTCTGGACAAACTGCTCGTGTTTCTCTCGACGACACCCAGTCTGGTCTGGTGGTCACCACCCAGGAGTAAATGATAACATGATCTGGCGTTTTCTGTTGCATATACGTACGGTTTTTGGATTGTTCTTTTAATATATTGGCCACTGCATGTCGTCCCTCACATATCGAGACTTTGTATATTACCCCACTCATACGATTTTTACATTAATTCAAATTCAGATGATTGAACAAACATTTCATTTATTATGTAGACTTGAAGAACGTGACCGAGCACGGGGTGGAAGCCCGCCATCCATCCCATCTCCCGTCCTGTTCATCTCCTATTCCATCTCAGATCATTCGAGCCCTAACCCAATCAATTCCTTTCTTAGCAAAATGACTTCTTTTAAAAGAAAATGTCCATCCTCCCGCGCTCCAATCGAGTCTCATACTTCTGGGCCTCGAGGCTACAGAAGCCTATCGAGTCGAGCACCGAGCGTTTCCAGCGGCCCTTCTCAAACACCTGTCCCATCATCAGCAAGACAATTGCGAACCCCATTTTCTACTAATACCAAGCCCAAGACTGATCGTTCGATGGGGGTTACCGACGATGACTTCGATGATCATGTCATTGCAGCCGTCGACATGAAGGACTACAGTACCGTCGGATGCGCCTACTATTCGGCCGCAGAAGAGAAAATGTATCTGCTCGGTGACAGCCGCTCTGGGGGTTTGGATACAATTGAGACATGTATACTCTTTTGTCCTCTAATTGCTTGTTTGTCTTACTAATTGGGTCATCTCTAGTGCTGCTCCAGATCAAACCAACGGTGGTCTTGATACCTCCTCGTGTTGATTTAGATGTGCAGAATCAGAACCAGAACCTGGCACAGGAAGACGGTATACAAATCTTGCAGTCAATTGCATTCCTTTTCTATATCTCCTGGCTAATTGCTTCGGCTCTAGTTTCATCTGCATATCTTCCCTACCAGATAGACGTTCGTCCAACATCGGAGTTCAGCTATTCAAATGCAGAAAGCAAACTTCTTGCACTAAAAATCTCGTCTAATCACGAGGAACGCATCCGATTCTTCGTACCCCAAGACGGTCTTGAAGGCCCTGAAGAGGTGAATCCAGAAGAGATGGGTTTCACCCTTCAAGAAGGAAGACTGTTACACATTTCCAGCACTATCGACATGGAAAATCCAGTAACCATCGGTTGCGCAGGAGCCATACTCCAATACCTCCAGCGGCGGAGGTCATCAGCGCCGAGCCCTCTCGGAGGTGGCAACGAATATCGAGTGCGAGTGCTGCAAATGTTCAATATTCGAGATACAATGTGGATTAACAACAACACATTCACTTCACTGCAGATCATCCAACCGGAATCGCACCCGAACATGTTTAATCAAGGTCCGGGCAAGAAATCGGCTTCGGGAAAAGAGGGACTTTCTGTCTATGGTCTCTTTCGCCGTTTTGCGTATACCCCTCAGGGTAGAGCAAAGCTCAGACAGACATTCCTTCGTCCGAGTTTGGATCTAGATATCATTCGTGAACGGCATGATTTTATCGGTGTCTTTTCGCGACCCGACAATCTTGCGGCGCTGGACAAAATGACCAAAGCGTTGAAGCATGTCAAGAATTTGAGACTTGTTATGGTCAATATTTGCAAGGGAGTTAGTACTGGCAGTGGGAAGATTACTGGGTTCAAAACTACAGTTTGGGCTAGTCTACTTGCTGTAAGTCTTTTTCCCGACCTTCAATTGCTGAGCGATCTAGACCTCTTTGGTGCTGACTACGCGAGTAGTTCGCGTTCTACTCCATCGACATCCAGGATGCGCTACAGGATGTCTCCGGGGCAGAGATCCTAGCCCTCCGAACCAAGGTCAAATCTTATTTTTCGTCCGATTCTGACATTATGCTGACTACTGCAGGCTCTCCGCGTGTTTGAAGCAGCACAGCTATACAGGGTGGGCCGCATGATCCAAGAAATTGTAAGCATATCCCACTTGGCATTAGTTACATATCTGATGAACATAGGTTGACATCGACAACTCCGAGGAACAAGGAAGAACAGTGGTCAAACAGGGGATTGACAGAGAGCTTGACAGAATCAAGGACAGATATGATGGTCTCAACAGTCTTCTCAAGCACGTTGCCCTCGACATCGCCGCGACTATCCCGGAAGTCCTCGATCTCGACGTCAACGTTATCTATTTTCCTCAGCTCGGGTTCAATATTACCATTCCACTCGATGACAATGGCGTGGCAGCATACAGTGGCGCCGACAATGAGTGGGATTTGATGTTCATCACAGAGAACCGGGGGTATTTCAAGGACTATCGCATGAGAGAGATGGACGAGAAGCTGGGAGATATTTACGGCCTCATCTGTGGTAGGCTTGCTTACTTTTTTTGATCGAGCTTCATGGGAGACTAACGGGTGTGACATTGCAGAGAAAGAAATTGAGATTGTATACGACTTGGCTCAGAGGGTTCTTCGATATGAAAATGTGCTTGTCGATGCGTCTGATGTCTGTGGAGAGCTGGACAGGTAAGTGTTTCTGAAGTGAGAGGCGAACATCACTAATAAAGTCTTTACAATTACAGCCTTCTTGCCCTCACGCAGGGAGCCAGTTTCTATAAGCTGACTCGGCCACGAATGGTTCAAGACAATGTCATCATGATCAAGGGCGGGCGGTAAAAGCGTTAGAGCCGAAACACTCTCAACATTTCTGACCGATTGCAGACACCTGCTCCAAGAAATGACAGTGCCGTCATATGTCCCGAATGACACATTTCTCGTTGGTGGAAGTGAGGACCCAGACACCAATGGATTATCTACGTCTTCAGATAATAATCCCAGCATGCTGGTTTTGACTGGTCCAAACTACTCGGGAAAAAGTGTCTACATGAAGCAGGTGAGTGATTTTCCCTCCTAATGCAGACCATTATCTCACAACGCTTTAGGTAGCTCTGATTGTTTTTCTAGCACAGATCGGAAGGTATTCCATCCTCCTATAGTTATGCAAAATGACATCTTAACTTCCATTGCAGCTTTGTTCCTGCAGATACCGCGGAACTGGGAATCACTGACAAGATTTTGACCAAAATTAACACTCAAGAGAGTGTCTCCAAGGTACTCCAGATTCATTATTTAAAGACCTACACCGTAAGTTTAACATGGTCCTAGATCCAAAGCACCTTCATGAATGACTTACAGCAAATCTCGCTCTGTCTGAAAGAAGTCACGGGACGCAGCCTGGTAATCATCGATGAATTTGGCAAAGGAACTAACGAGAGCGGTTTGTCCAATTTCACGATAACTCTCTGTTTTCGTCTGTTAACTCTTACAGATGGCATCGGCCTTGCCTGTGGAATCCTCGAGTATCTACTGAATCTTGAAACTGCTTCCAAGATCATCGCAGCGACCCACTTCCATGAGATCTTCGAGAATGATTTTCTTGTACTGCGGCCACGGCTACAACTTGGACACATGGAGGTCCGGGTTGATCAGGAAGTTCAACAAGTTGAGGACCAAGTCACATATCTTTACAAGTATGTGCAGTGCCGCTGACTTTTGATTTACTATTACACACAAAGGACGCTGACAGATCGAATAGCTTTCGTCACGGGCGAAGTAACAAGAGCTTCGGTACAATGTACGTTCCTAACGTCCTTCTTCCGGTGCGTCTTCCAGCATTGGACTGACTCAATTGATACAGCTGCGCGGCTATCAATGGTATCGATTCAGCCATCGTTTCTCGTGCAAACGAGATCGAATGCCTCTTGGCTCGAGGCGAGAACATACTCGCTGCATGCGCAGTTTTGTCTCCAAAAGAGGTGGAAGAGCTAGAGCAAGCTGTAAGAATGCGCCTTTTAAATAGAACGTCACTAACTCAGCTCCGTCGTAAGGACTCACTCGCAAGAAGATTCCTGGAGATTGATTTCTCAGAAGGGGGCTCAGACAACAGTACGAAGACGGTATTCGAACGCTTATTTGAAGCTTCCGGGCAATGATGTGACCAAGCGTATTGGGGGCCAATGTATTCCTTCGTATGCCCTACACTTAGGCAAGCCATCATTAGTTGGCCGAACCCGCGTTGTCGATCCATACTACTATCAGAATGAAGACGCTGCCTCACTCCATTCATCTTTCATCCTGTCAACTGGGGGCGGAACCTAGCGAATTGACCCCTGCTTACCCCGGCTATGTCTATGTGTGGCGACAATGTCGGCTGAATCAATATGAAGCTCCCAGTTGCCTTTGAAAAAGTCTTCATTCTTACATATCTCAATGCGATAACAATTACAAGTGACTTTTACCTACCTGTAGCTTCTATCTATGCCCTCCTCATCACAGAAGAGATACACATTGCATCTGCCCCAAGATTCTGGGGTTCCTTTGTGCCCCGCATGTCGCAAGTTTCCGATTTGATCAAGGACTCGAAGCTACACACCAAGTTCGAGTCAGAGCTTATAACACACACCTTTCTTGAATCCACAACCATCGCTGGTCGCCGTGGGAGGCGCCGTGAGCGCAACGAAGTATGGAAACGAAAGCGGCACCTTGGAATTGGCATATTTGGTACGGTCTGGCTGGAGGAATGCGTGAGTGAGGGCAAATTGCGGGCTGTCAAAGAAGTTCGCAAGTCGGTCCCGTCCTTGGAGTCGATAGATTTCAATCGCGAATTGGAGGCTATTGCTCGTTCCTCGCAGCAGAAGGTAAGCTTGTGATTGGTCTTGCCAGCTGCTTTCTCGAAACTCTTTGCTGTAGTTACTGACCCAATTTCTCTAGTATGACGGCTGCGTCGTGAAGTCTTCGGGTTGGTTTGAGAATACTAAATCTCTGTTTATTGCAATGGAGTATCTGCCTCTCGGTGATTTGGGAAATTATATGACGCAATTATTTGGTTACACAGCAGATTGCCTTCCAGCTTCTCGAAGGTCTTGACTTTATGCATAGCAATGGGTTCGTTCACCGTGATCTGAAGCCACAGGTATGTTCAAACTCTACGTCTCCATTTTAGCCCTGTACTTTCTCATTTTGCTTCTTATTATGCTTGCTCAGTCTGATATTGTTAGAACATTTTTGTTCTATCTATAGGCCCGGACTGGTGGGTCAAGATCGGCGACTTTGGCATCAGCAAACGCGTAATAGAAGGGTTCATGGGTTTACAAACGTTTAATGAAATGCCGGCTTTCACTGCTCCCGAAATCTATAAAAAATATTAGGGAATCACCAGAGGAAAGTCGGGTTTTGGGGTCAGAACTCAACCCCAAGGTTGACATATGGGCTCTGGGTGTGATAGCTTACAACATGCTCACTGGAAACTCCCTTTCTCCGGAAAAGGTGATTTGCTTGACTACTACAAAGGCAATGCAAATCTTCCCTTCGACTCATCCCAATCTCCAGTCAGCTCAGAGGCGACATCCTTTTTGGTGGACCTGATAGCAGCACAGCCATCAGATCGGCCTACTGCCAAAGATGCCCTAGATTATGCCTGGCTGGTACCTGCGTTACGAGATTCGGAGTTTGATAGACCCGACCAGTCCACTCCAACTACTCAAGATACATCTGAAGTTGCTTCACAGTCGCACGTTCGCCCCGAGTCCCGAGATTCTATGATCCCCGGTACGGTCGACTTGGGCAACAAAATCGTCCAAGGACAATCTCCAAATTACAAATGACACAGCATATGTCTATCTCACCAGCTAGTCTGGGGCTAGATGGGGATTCTTATAAAGAACTCGTCGAAACCCTGAACAACGCTAGACTAGTGACCCCAACTCCGAGCCTACAGCTGCTTCAACGTCAATAAACCACGGTCACCCAGCTTCAGACACCGAGTCAATTGCGCGGTCTAATAATAGCGGCTCTCAAAGCAGCGAGTCCAAACTTGACACTCAGCCTCAACATCTCCTTTCAAGCAAATCACCAAGCGATATCCTTCCGCCATACGCCCGCCGAAACTCCGACGCAGCGCCAATTCCAATATCAGAACTTTCCTATCCAACGCCAGACCCTGAGAGTCCGGCCTCGAGAAGCTCTAGTACAAGCAACAAGCATAGTCCAGTCCGGTTCTCCAAGATCAGACAAGCGTCTGGTGAGATCATGCCTAAACGAAGTCGTCGCTCTCGGGAAGTGCTTCCTACTTCGCCAGTCTCACCTGATACGAGGTAGAGTACTTACAATGCCTAGTATGTGCCGTGAGCTATGCTGACTTTCTGTAGTTCGGACACCACGCGGCAATCTAAATCTCAATCTATTGAGATTCTCACTGTCCTCAGTTTGCGGAGGGATTGCCCATGTTCCCGATACGGCCTGATAAAAAGGCAAAGAGTATGTTCCCTATATTTTCCATGTCCTTGTATAGTTGTCATATGCTGATGGCCCTCTTCTAGGTCGTAGATAGGAGCATAAGCCTGCTGCATGTAGGAAATGATGAAGAGATGAATAGAACAGTTTTGATCTTTGAGTTACCAGAGATGAAAATCGGGGTTATATACACATCGAATGCTTGAGACTGCCCGCAGCGAACGCCATGAAAACATACACACACAAGACTATGAATTTTATGATCAAACAGCGTTCACAGCTTGACACTCTTGACCAGGTTCTTCTTAATACCCGTAAGCTCACCACCATAACCACCGCGGCCTTCACCACCCTTGTACAATTGCTTGGTACTACCAAGCTTCTTCTTCTTGTCCTCGTACTTCTTTCTCTTCTTGACACGCGGGTTACGCGAGTCCTTGCTGCGCTTAGCCATGAGACCCTTATTCTTCTGGATCTGGTATGTGATGGCACGCTTGCCATCAGGCCCAACCTCCTCCTGCTCATAGACTTGGCCGCCTTGGCGAGCAGCCTCGGCCTGAGCATCAGCGCGCGCCTGCTTGTCACTCTTGCGCTGCTTGGATCGAGCCGCCACCATGTCGTAGTATTCGTCCTCGTCGGTGCCAGACTTGTTACCGTCCTTGCGAAGCTCCTTGGCGACACGGTGATCTTCTTCATCACTGTCACCGCCAAGCTCCTGGCTAGCGTCGAGTTGCTTGCGGCCACGCTTCTCAGCCTCGGCGTTGAGACGAGCCTGTCGGTCGCGCAGACGTTCGCGGTAGGGAAGATCGGCATCTCCGCCCGCGTCACGGCCTGCGGCGTTACGCTTGTTGGCTTTCTGTGCCAGTTGGGAGGTGTAGAAGCGGAGCGAGCGCTTCTGCTTGGCCTTCTCTTCTGCCTCGCGGGCTGTGAGGGCGTCCTCGTCACCGAAGTCGGAATCGTCGTCCTTGGCAGCTGTCTTGAGTTTCTGGGACTTGCGCTTCCGGGTAGGCTCGGTGACCAGATCGTCGAGATCAGCGAGACCGGCTTCTGTCTCGCGGATCCGCTCAGCTCGCAATGCTTCGGCTTCGGCTTGCGCTGCCGCGGCCTTGCTGAGCTTCTTCGATTTCGACTTCTTGATGTCTTGAGTCTTGGGTTGCTTCTGGACTTTGCTGGGCTTCGTCTCGATTTCTTGGATTGACTCATCGTCAGATTCGATGTCTGATTCTTCGATGGACTCGAGATCCTTCACTGTGTTCCAGAGCTTTCGGAACTTAACGAGCGAGGCCATCACTGGATGTTGTCGAAGCTCGGCGGGGGTCATCGGGACATGTTCGTTGATCGCGTCGGGGGATGAGGAGGAAAGAAGCATGAAGTACATGCTGATAGTGCCAAGATAGGCAGACAACGCACGGAACTTCACCACCTCGACTGGAGAGGGTTGCGGTTCATCTGTGGATTCATCTTCTGTGGGGGAAGCGTTCGAGGCGGCATCTTGGAGATCCTTATAGGTGGGCTGGAGGTCGATGAAATCCTTCGCCAATGGCTCAAATTCCGGATATCTCGACTTCAAAATCTTCATTTTTTCGTCGGTATCCATGTCCTCGGTGATCTCCAGTTGCGGTAGCACTTCAGTGACCACGCCGGCATCCTCCTCGTCCTCAGCTCCCTTGCCAGATTCCACCCATTCAGACTCATCAAATCCGAAATCGGCTTCATTCATAGCCTCCAACTGCTTCTTTTGTAGTCGCTTAGCTTCCTGCTCTTCCTCAAGAGCATCGATCTCGGTCTCGATCTGATCTGCATTATAGAGGTCCTTCTTCGATGATCCCCAGGCAGCAATGCCTTCTTCTTCGTCGGACTCGGCGCCTTCTTTCTTTTTTGGCTCGCCCATGTCATCGTAGTCATCCTCTTCTTCATCTTCCATATCATCCTCGTCCGAGTCCGCCTCGTTATAGCCTAGAATTTCTTCGTCGGAGGGCTCGAACATCTCCTCTGTAAAATAGTCAGACAATAATTCCCCATGATAGCGAACTAGGATATCCACAAACCTTGCTCGGCAACTCTGCGCCGTCTCTTTGCCTCTGGGCCTTCTTCCAGTAGAACATGGTCCCGGCCGGCTTGGAATTCATCTTCAGACTCGTCGAAGCGCTCTTCGATGTCGAACTTGGTGGGCTCTGGGGCTGACTTATTTTGAGCCGGACGGCCGGCCTTTCTCTTCTTGCTACCCATTGTGAGAATGTAGCGACAATGATCTATCGCGATAACCCGTGGACCTGAGATAAAATTATTTTTTGAGCCTTCACCGCCTTGCGCTAGTCTCAAGTGGGGGTGTTTGTTTTATTTGCACTTGTTGAAATATGAATACCAGTAACAATACACATCACCACCACAGACCGTCAATACAAGCCTGAACTTTAGTATCCCTATTTCATGCACCTAGAATCGCGCTTTCCTCTCTCCAACGCAGCTGCCCATACGACGTGGATATTCGCTCGTTTACCTCTCAGATGCCTTTTCTAACCCTTCTAGCTCCCTTCTATAACACATCCACCTCAGTCTTGGGGGTTTCCGCACTCATTTGCACCGTTATCGCTTATACCATTGCTAAGATGTTTGGTTTTGGGTCTCTAAAGAACGAGTTCATTGTTGAGGGCAAGGTACGTGCAAGGCGCTCATCAAATTGAATTGCACTGACTATTTTCCAGACCGTTGTCATCACCGGTGGCTCCGATGGCATGGGCAAAGCTGTCGCACTTGAACTGTCCAAGAAAGGGGCCAGCGTTATCGTGGTTGCTCGCACAATCTCGAAGCTTCAGGCTGCCGTTGATGAAATGAAGGTGAAAGAAACCTCCCTGGTCATCCGATTACCATTGCTCACCTATCATTAGGCTGCCGCCGGTAACAGGCTCACGCAGAAGTTCCACTATATCAGTGCTGATCTCATTGATCCCGCCGAGTGCGAGCGAGTTATCGCGGAGGCCACAGCGTGGAATTCCGGTGCTGCTCCTGACATCGTTTGGTGCTGCGCAGGCTTCTCTCGTCCGGGATTCTTCATTGATGTGCCCATCCAAGATCATCGCCAGCAAATGGACACGATCTATTGGACAGCCGCCAACACAGCGCATGCCACGCTCCGCAACTGGCTGGCCCCCGTTCCCCCAAGCGGACAAATGAAGACCCCCAGGAGACATCTTATCTTTACCTGCTCTACTCTGGCATTCGTGCCCATTGCTGGCTATTCGCCATATTCGCCTGCCAAGGCAGCCATTCGTTCACTATCCGATACTCTGAGCCAGGAAATTGAAATGTACAACGGCGCCTTTACTCAGCGACACCGTACTGATGCTCCCGCTGCGGATGTCAAGATTCACACCATCTTCCCCATGGGCATTCTCAGCCCCGGATTTGACAACGAACAAAAGACTAAGCCGGAGTTGACGAAGCAACTCGAAGAAGCCGACAAGCCCCAGACACCAGAGGATGTCGCACGGATCTCCATCAGTGCTCTGGAGCGCGGCGAGTACCTCATCACCACCATGTTCATTGGCGCTATCATGAAGGGTGCTGCCCTTGGACCCAGTCCGCGAAACAGCATACTGGGAGACACCCTGCTGGGCTGGCTCAGCAATGTGGTGTTCCTACAGGTCATTCCGGACCTTCGCAACAAGGCGTTCAACTGGGGAAAGAAGAATGGACTTCCCAAAAGTGCACCGGCGTCATAGGGGTTGGGTGTATGCTTACTTTCACATGGTCCAGCACCTTCTTGTATGTTATACCCCGAGATCTGTCTTTTCAGCGTATCCTCTGTCTGGCCTTGCCGAGACCTATACCTTTTCCGACTGTGCGATGTGATTCTTGGTCGCATATCCTAAGTGCAGAAACAACCGACATCATCCTTATCGTGGTTTCAAATCGTGTAAGCGTGTGTTGTATCTGTCCTTGAAAAAAGAGAATTTTAATCTGGTTCATTCCAAATATCTCCATGGTAATTATTTCATTGTTGAATCAATGTTGAATCAATGAAATAGCCAATTGTGTAGAGAAGATATGGTGCGCCACTCGGGATTCACGTGGAATGCGGTGACGTAGACAAGGAAGCTCCCTGCCACTCCAATTTCGCCCTCGACTTTTCTTTGACCACAAATTCTTTTTGTCTGGGATTATGCCGTTCTCTCGAAATTGGACATGCCCTGATATTAATAGATATCATCACTAGAGTCATTGCCGGGGGGAAACCAAAACCTGCCCTCTCCCCACAGACTCGGCGATAGCAATTGCACGCGACACAGCTTCGCTCGCAAGTCCCCCTGCTCTGCGCAATTGCTCCAGGAAACTCGCAAAAATGGAGGCCCTCTTTTCAATCCCGATGCTATCGCTATTCCTCGTTCCCGTCCTGTCATCGTACAGCACCAGCCTGAACCTACTCTTCTTCTACATGACATGGACGACCCTGGTACTGTCGCATCCCCCACTCCGAGTGGAACTATTCGGCACAGCCGCTGTGCGCATATTATTCTATGCACTACCATCTATCATCTTCTTCGTCTTCGATGTTCTAACCCCGTCGGCTGCGGTGGTCCTCAAGGCGCAAGGCGAAACCGGGTTGCCTAGCGGAAAGAAGAATGGCAAGATCCGAACCCGGGAATTCAAGATTGCCGGATGGGCGCTGTTGAATCTATGCTTGGGCATCGCTGCACAGGCAGCCATCGAGTCGCTGCTTGTAAAGGGCTTGGGCGTGCGCAGTGCGATCAAGGTGTCGCTGAAGCTTCCTATGCCATATGAGATGCTCAAGGATATGGTCCGGGGAATGCTGGGAAGAGAGGTTAGTGCCCTTCTATGTTGATGTTGTTCGCGATGCGATATTCCTTCAGTGGCTAACGTTATGTTATATTGTCTCAGATTCTTAGTTACGTCCTCCACCGCTATGTCCTCCACTCGAAGAACTCGAAAAATTTCCTTGCCAAATATCACCAGTCTTGGTATCATGCGCTGAGGGCTCCCTTCCCTTTAACTGCGCACTATGACCACCCGCTCACCTACATCATATACACGTTCATCCCGACCTACCTGCCTGCCATGCTCTTCCGCTTCCATATGCTTACATATCTTTTATACCTGTCCATTATCTCCATTGAGGAGACCTTTGTTTATTCTGGGTATACTATTATGCCGACCAGCTTCTTTTTGGGTGGCATTGCTCGCCGCACGGATATGCATCTGTTGTTGGGTGCGGAAGGTAATTTTGGACCGTGGGGAATTTTGGATTGGATCTTTGGAACTACTGTCGGGGATACGGATGTAGAGGATGATATTATGGATGAGCTTGAGGAGCATGAGATCGAGGATAAAATGAGGAGAGCTGTTCAGTCTTCGAAGCGGAAGATTAAGGCTGGGACTTCGTGGAGGCGGAGACGACGCGATGAGTAATGAGTACATGGACAACGATTGATTTTACTATATTAGACCTGCTCCCTTTGGATTAATTTTGGTGTTTTTATCATTTTATAGGTTTCAGAGTTCTTCCGAAGCGCGATATATATAAATACAGTAGTCCGCATGATGACCAAGAATATATAGAATTATATTATATTTGAAAAATATTTACACGTTCAACAACGTAAGTTTGATGCAAATCTATAACTTTTATAACCATTTTATTTACCAGGTGTTCATTTGGGTAGTCAATCGAACCGTCAACGAGGAGGGATGATGAGGCTTGCGTATGATAGCAATTTAACACAAAAATTTGATCTACAGCATATCAAAGATGACAGGCCATTAACGGACATGGACAATATATACGGCAGTATGCAACGAGGCAATAAATACGTACATAGAGTATTAGCTATAGGGACGAAATGCTAGGATACGACAGCCCACTCCACCCGTCTCAGGATTCGAAGATCCCGAGAGTGAGCGGCTTGTCCCACAATAACCTTGATTAACAGGCAGATATAGCTAGACTACTTTAGCTGCTCACCGAAGAAGATCGCCAAGGTACCGATGGAAGAAATTGACGTGTAGGCCTAGATCTCAAGATCTATACATCAGTTCCACACAATGGAAGTATATCCACTAACAAGATCTAAAGTCCAACCTTATATTTAGTGTACCTTACACAGATTACACATTACAGCGTATACAAGTCGGTATAATTGCCCAATTTTAGATTGCCGCCTGAACCTGGAATGGAAATTGGAGACGTAGGTCATACTGAACATAAAAAGAGAATCCAGCCCGCCTGCTGGAACGAGGAGATTTTTTAATCTTTTTTTTTTTGGCTTGAAGTCTTTCTTCATAATGCGGCTTCATGCAAATCGGCCACGCGCAAAAGGGAGCATGTTTCTTGGAGACATGAGAAGAACAACCGGATATCCGTATTAACCGCAGATCCTAAGAAAAAATGAAGCCCGTTTTTTGACGGATCCCGTAGGAGTACATGACATGGTTCATGAAACCGCCCCCCCTGAAAGTCGTGCAAGGATGCCGATCTGCAATCGTGCCGCCCCTCGTTGGAAATGGTCCTCCCCAACTATCTACCGAACCCGCGGCTGCAACACATTTACCACTTCATCTCGTGGGGCTTGTCGCCGTTGCGGAGGCTGAAAGTGGTAGCGAGGTAAGAGCCGAGGAAGTCCTCCTTCTTGATGGAGGCAAGGATGGACTGGTCGATGGCCTTCTGGTCGCTGGCGCGAGCGCTGGCGACAACCTTCTTCTGTAGAACGAAAACATATTAGCATCCCATCGTGTTTCACTTGTAGTGGTTTTCCCAGGTAGATTTCAGCACGTACCTGAGGCTTCTCGCCCTGCTTGAAGAAAGCCTCCTCGGTCTTCTTCTCAGCCTTCTTGTCCTTGGTGAAGTATCCGGGAGCGGAGGTCTTCTCAAGGGCCTTGGCGTCAACACCGCTGATGTCGACCTTCTTAGAGGTAGCGATGACGTAGCGGGAGTTCACGCGGCGGAGGGGAACACCGTTGATCTTGAAGGGGCCGGTGACAAGGAGGACACCCTGGTCGAGGGACTTGAGGAGGATGACACGCTTGCCGCGGAAACGGCCAGCGAGGAGGATCAGGATGGTGCCGGGAACGAGGGTCTCGCGGACCTTGGAGGGACGCAGAGTCTTGCGGACCTGTAGATGGAGCCAGTCAGTCTTTCATATCACACACAGAATTCAAGTCAATGATGCCAATTGCCATGGCTAGATCTTCCCCGGATGATATGCGGTTCGCACAAGATTTGAAGATTGGGTTGACAGTGGGCTCTCTGACCGCACGTCGTCCGTAAGTCACGGTGCATCCTCAGAAAAATCCATGCTATCGTCGCAATCATTCCGGGCAAGTCTTTGCCAGTCGTATATCCTCCTCTTTTTTCTTGGTGCCATTGTTCATAGGGTGTACTGACTTTCTTGGGCTGCGACTGATCATCCACGGGGTACCACTTCTGGGCCTTGTCGGCGGGCACGACCCTCTGGCTCTTCCCGAACTGCTTCGTCTGGCCGTCCGACATGATGGCTGCTGGCGAAGGATGAATGGTTGTCGGGTTGGTTGTTGGAGATTGGAGGTGAGGACTTGGACTGCTAGCGGAGACGGCTCCAGTGCGGGAATTCGTTGAGGGTTGTGCGGACAAAGCCCTATCACGTGTTTAGCCGAAGAACCCTAGCGCCACTTCTGGGAGGTGACTCAGCGATTGACACCATATATCCAAGGCCACAAAATACGGCTGACTGCGTACACCACGTGCGCAGAACCACGGCTAGTCACAAACAACTGACGTATCCCGCTCAAAGCTTCTGTCTGTTTCTGTATTGGCTATCTCTCACATCCCTCAACTTCTCTTTCCATCCACCTGGAGTGGCTCAATTCTGTCGACACGTTTCTTCAATCGCTAGACACACAGTCACAAATTCCCACCATGTCGATAGCTCCTATCATCACCTTCAAAGCAGGTATCTGCGACCTCGATGTACGTGAGCTTAGCTTTAGACTGATGATCAACCCATCACATGGGTCCATCCATGCATGTATTGCAACGTTACTGACTGCTTTTCTATAGACCTCCACCGGCGCTGTGAAGCCCAAGCCTACCCCAGGCTACCTCTACCTCTACACCGAAGATGATCTCGTGCACTTCTGCTGGCGCCCACGCAGCGCCTCCCTTGACGAACCCGAACTCGATCTGGTCATGATTCCTTCAGATGGCAGCTTCACGCCCTACAAGCCGTCCGGCAAGGACGCCACAAATGGCCGTATCTTTGTGTTGAAGTTCTCTTCCAGCTCCCAGCGATACTTGTTTTGGATGCAGTCCCAATCTCAACATGAGAACGGTGACCTGAGCTGGTTCAGTCCTCGTGACCTGAAGCTTGGAGAGATTGTCGATGTCCTGTTGCAGGGCGAGGAAGTCGATGTAGAGCACGAGATCGCCAACCTGCCTCGCCGATCCTCGGGTGACGATGACGAGACCATGGAGGACGTGGATGGGCATGAGCCAAACCACCACGGTGCCGGCAGCGGTGGAGCTGGACCTGATGCCACAGGAGGTGACGTCCGTGAAGAGGGACAGGAATCGCGGGAAGGCGGTGCCGACGGTGGACGAGCGTAGGTACATATCTCTCACAGCCTTGATCGGGGCCATTGAAGCTGACTATTGTTTTTGATACTTCTGTAGAGCACCCACGGATTCCAACCCATCATCGGTAGTCCAGGACTTTTTGAAGTCCCTGGGCGGCCAGAACCAGAGCCAATCCCAAGACACTGAACGACCATCTACGACACTCCAAGACCTGCTTCCTCCCTCGACTACACTGCAATTCATCGATTCTGCTGATACCACCACTGCCGATCACCTACTGAGCTTCCTACCGCCCGCGCTGCTACTGCTGGCCCAGGGCAATGCCGAGGCTTCTGAAGCTGACACGGACCCCGAACTTGCCCAAGCTGCTCTTCTGTCTCTCGAACTCCCCCAGAAAAAGGATATTCTCCGCAAAGTGCTTCGTTCCCCCCAATTCATGCAGAGTTTGGCCAGTCTTACCGTGGCTCTCCGCGACGGTGGACTGCCCAGTATCAGCGAGGCGTTGCAGATCCCCGTCGCCAATGGAGGATTTATGCGGAGAGGCGGAGTACCCCTTGGTGGTGGCGATGCGGTAGACGCGTTCCTGGATGGCGTCCGGCAACATGTTAAAGATAAGGATTCTCAGATGGACACCGACTGAATCATAATGCATTTGTTAATGTTTCACTTGATTTAATTTGTAGAACTATTTTTGGAAGAACCATCCTAGGCAACACTGTTTTTACAAGACCTCGTCAGCTGAATAAGCGTAGGATAAGTAATGAAGACAAGGAATGGGAAGAAAAGAAAAGAAAAATATGAATGTAGAGAATTGTATAGACGTGAGGCGGGCATTCCAGCCACGGGTAGAGGCGCATGCCGACGTCTCTTAGTGCAATCGCGATCCCGACACTTCTGGCCTAATTCTTCGTCGGCCCCAGGGGTCTTAGTCTAACACTCTCTTCCTCATTGTTCTTTCATTGCTGTCTTCTTCTCTGCATATTTACGACTTCACCCTGGCTTCGCCATCAACACGCACCCGTGTCGCGACCGTGTCTGACAACCCGCCCGGCCTGCGATGTCTGCGATTCGATAATATTTAATCTTGCCTGACGATGGCGCCAAGTAACCAGAGCCCTGGCAATGAAGAGAACGCTCCGCCAAATCAGATTCCCCTTCAAGATCTCTCGAAACCAGAAGATGCCGCTTACGACCGTGGCCGAAGCCCGCGTGGCAGCCTCTTCTCACGACCATCAATGATCGGAAGGGGATCGCGGAGAGCCTATGAAAGTGTCGCAGAGGAGTCTCCTAGTGATTCGGCTGGACCGAGCAGGAATCCCTTCCGACCAACACAAGGCCATGCGGACATTGCTTCGCCCATTGACGACCTGGGCGGATTTGCGCAAGCCATGTCCTCGGTTGGCTTGAACTTCGACGGACCACAATCAAGAGCTTCACTGTCCGGTCCCCCCGGAGGTCACGGTTTTGACGATGCTGCTTCCGATCTCGATGTTGTGCCTCTAGACCCTTACGATCCCCACGACCCCCACGAATACCATATACCCGCGGACGATGATGATAGGGCTGGCCTGACAGACCCTCGATACCTACAGCCGATCAGCGGAGCCGCGGGCACGGAGGGACGGCGGAGCAGCGACACTGGTGGTCACTCTTTTCAGTTCGGCGGTTCACGGCTGGGCGACGATCTCCCTCACTTGGAGGATGGATTGGGAAGTCGTCGTGGTAGCAGTGCTCGTGATCGGTCGCGTTCGCTGTCTCCCTCCACCTCCGGAGGAGCTCTGCAGCGCGCTAGTTCCATGGTGAAATCCATGTCGCAGCGTGTGGTCAACTTGAGTAACGAACCGGAAGTTGTACAGCAGTCGATTGAGAGGGAGGAATCTAATAAGAATGCACGAATGGACGGACCTCCGGTTCTGCCTGCGATGATGGCCTTTGAAGACGTTCCTCAACAGGAAACTCCAACTGCTAGAGAGAAGCGTTCCTCAAGCAGACTATGGAGGGATCGAAATAACCCGTTCAGAGGCAGGTCGCTTGGGCTATTTGGACCAGACCATCCCCTTCGACTCTGGCTGTGTGATATCCTGGTCCATTCGTTTATGGAGCCCGTCATTTTGATCGTCATCGTCATCCAGACCATCTTGTTGACTGTTGAAGACGCGCTTCCTAATTATCCAAATTCAGTGGAATGGGGAAGCAGCAACCTCGATTACGTTTTCCTTGTCATTTTCATCATATATACACTTGAGATAGGTGCCAAAATCTTGGTGTCTGGATTTATCTTCAATCCCGTTGAGTACAGCACATTGAATCGCACTCTCGGCGTCAGGAAAGCGATAGCGGAGAAGGGCAAGAACCTGATCACGCCGCATCGACAGGCTACCACCAAGAAAGCTTCCATGCTACCAGCCGAACCGCAAGCCTCGATTCTGCGAACATTCACAGGGATGAATGGATTAGATCCTGAAGTCCTCGATGACCCTTCACATAAACGCCGCGTTAGACTTGCCCACCGTGCATTTCTCCGACACTCTTTCAATCGCCTGGACTTTGTAGCAGTGGTCGCCTTTTGGGTATCTTTTTTCCTTACATTGTCGGGCGTGGAGAAAACGCGCCAATTGTACATTTTCCGCATGCTGAGCTGCCTTCGTATCTTGCGTCTGCTTGCCATGACCAACGGCACTTCGGTAAGCCTTCTTTCTTATTGCGACATCATGGCAAATGAGATACTGACTACTGGGCTTTAGGTTATTCTTCGAAGTCTCAAACGAGCAGCTCCTCTCCTCGTACATGTTGCATTCTTGATTGGTTTCTTCTGGCTTCTATTTGCTATCATTGGCATCCAGAGCTTCAAATCCAGTTTCCGGAGAACTTGTGTTTGGATTGATCCCGAGGGTAAGAGCAATTTCACATTGAATAACGCATGGGATACACTGCAGTTTTGCGGTGGATATCTCAACAACACGACCGGAGAAAAAATGCCATGGCTTGACTCTACAGGGCTGGACTCAGGATTCGACCCTAAAGGATACCTTTGTCCACAGGGTTCCATATGCATGGAAGGTGGCAATCCGTACAAGGGAACATTCGGCTTCGACAACATTCTACACTCATTGGAAATGGTATTCGTGATCATGAGTTCCAATACCTTTACTGATCTGTTGTACTACACCACTGACAGTGACTACCTCGCGGCAGCTCTATTCTTTGCCTGCGGTCTTGTCATTTTGAGTCTCTGGTTGGTGAACCTGCTGGTCGCTGTTATCACGCACTCATTCCAGGTGATCCGAGAAGAGAGCAAGCGCAGTGCTTTTGCCGTTCAAAAAATAGATGTTGTCGAGGAAGATGAAACAACAACTCGCAAAATCAGTCCCCTCAAGCGTATCTATGACCAAACTGAGTGGGTTTGGGTCTGTATCATCATTTTTGACCTCATTGTGCAAGCGCTTAGAAGCTCGTCTATGTCCGCCAGCCGTGCCAAATTCATCGATACCACCGAGACTGTGGTCACTCTCGTTTTCCTTGTTGAGATTATCCTGCGTTTTGCCTCGGATTGGAGAGTTTTTCATCACAGGCGCCGTAATCTGACGGACTTCTTGCTTGTTATAATTACCTGCATCATCCAACTGCCGCCCATCAGGAACTCAGGCCGCGCATACACAGTTCTCACTCTCTTCCAGATCCTACGGGTCTACCGGGTCGTTCTGGCATTCTCTGTGACAAGAAAGTTGATCATGGTGGTCTTCCGTAACACCGTCGGTCTGCTTAACCTTATCTTCTTCCTATTCTTGATGACTTTCCTCGCTGCCATCTTTGCAACACAGCTTTTCCGAAGCCAGATACCATCCGAAGATGAAGGTGGTGGCACGATCTTGATCACATTTGGAAACATTTACAACTCGTTTTTGGGAATGTACCAAATCCTTTCAAGTGAGAATTGG